TTGTATTATATAAGATGAAGATTTTTAAAAAACTTCTGAAATATTGAATTTCTATGAAAATTAAAAGTACATTTGTCATCCATCGTGATTCCTAAGTAGTTAAGTCTTATTTTGTTCAATCTTGTCATTGTATAGTTACTTATTACAATAAGAATACCGAAATTATCGACCTAATGACATGACGAAGCGTGGTACTAGTTCCCATCCATTTACAATTCGTTCAATCTATTTGTATCAAGTTGTTCAATCTATTTCACGAGTCTATTAGTATTTTATATATGTTTAGTTGATGTTTTCCCTAACTTTGAGCAGGACCCACAATCACACCAGTATCAATCAACAGGTTGCCTGGAAGAAATCGCTGTTCAGCGATAAGGCCGCTTATTGTACAACTGTAATTGTTTTTTGTTCCTTGCTATGTATTTATTTTTACTTTTTTATGCACTAAAGTGTTAAATAATAATAATAAATAAGTCATAATAATTCCAAAACCAATTTCAAATTTAGTGTCGGTATGCAATCAGTTCACCTCTTTCCTATTGATTTCTTTGTCTTCCTTCTTACAAATTTTAATTTTTTCCAAGAAATTATAAAACTTTAAAGACCAACATTTCAGTATGATCATAATATTACCTAAGACAAGGCTGTATAGGAAGATCCCTTTTTTTTTTCGAATTAAATGATTACAGTTTAAAAAATGAGCTACCGACAACCGTTCTTAGTTGGTAGGCGCCTACCGATGATTGTGAAACGCAAAAACGAATTGTTGTCGGTAGCTCTAAAAACGGTCGGTAGCTGCTACCGACGGTCGTCGGTACATTATTGAAACCGGGGGTTAGTGGTTTTTGCTGAGCCATATAATGTGCCGAAATCGAACAATTGGGTTGCGGACACGGATGACTCGGTCGCAATCGTGATTCCCTCCACGGCCACTTTTTCCCCCCCATTTGTGCTTAGGGAAAGGGGGGCAGGGTATGTGGCTATTATGTGTGGTGGGGTCACAATAATAGGAGTCTATTTCTCCCCCACGAGACCGTATGCTGAATACGAGGATTGGGTTCGTAGGTTGGGTTCAGCTGTGAGTCGACTGGCCTCCCAACATATGCTCATCTTGGGGGATTTCAACGCAAAACATGTGGCATGGGGATCCCCCAGAAACTCATTGGAAGGTGAGCTCATTACAAATTGGGCTTCGACTGCGGGTCTAGAGATCTTGAATAGGGGTCGTGAGTTCACGTGTGTCAGACGACTACGGGGTGAAACCGTGGGCTCTATTGTCGATCTGACCTTCGCGACCCCTGCTCTTGCTCGTAGAGTAAATGGATGGAGAGTGCTTGTGAGGGACGAAACGCTGTCAGATCATAGGCACATCAGATTCGAGATCTCTCCTGCAGCGGGAGGCAATCGGACACCGGTGATCGGTGAGAGCTTCCGCTTTCCTCGGTGGGCTATCGCCAAGATGGACCCAGCTATGATCTAGGAGGCTGCACTGGTTCAGGCTTGGGTGCTCGATACTCAGAGCCATGACTCCAGCGTCGATGATCAATCGAACCTCATTAAAGACGCACTGTCGGAGGTTTGCGACGCGTCTATGCCTCGTTCAACTGGCCCCAGACAACGTACCCAGGTATACTGGTGGTCGGCTGAACTAGAGGGACTAAGGCGGGACTGCACAAGGAAAAGGCGGACATTGTTGCGCAGTCGAAGGAGAAGCAGGAGAAACGAAGCTGAGGAAGCCCGTCTCAAACGATCATATGCCGAGGCTAAGAAGGCCCTCAGGGACTCGATTTGCAGGGCTAAGGCGTCAGCGTGGGAGGTGCTCCTCGACGACCTTAATCGAGATCCGTGGGGGCGTCCATACAAACTGATCAGAAATCGGATGAGACAGCACCCACCCTCCACAGAGCAGATGGATGAGGAACTCCTCAATAGGGTTGTCACTGCGCTATTCCCCAGCGAAACCCCTGAGGTTCCATCTCTCCTGCCTCTTAGACCATGAGCAGCCGAGAGTCAGATGAGAGTTGACGAGACCCTCTCCCCGGTCACGGACGGGGAGATGGACGATGCCATGGAACGGCTCCGACTCAAAAAGAAAGCCCCTGGCCCAGACGGAGTCCCCGGAAGAGTCTTGAGACTTTCTATGAAGCACCTGGGAACATTTATCAGATCCCTCATGGACAACTGCCTAAGGCAAGGCAGATTTCCCAGGTGCTGGAAGATTAGTTTTGCTGAGAAAGGAGGGTAAACCGGCGGACTCCCCATCTGGCTACAGACCGGTCGTTTTGCTGGACGAGGTCTGCAAACTATTTGAAAGGATAGTGACAGACCGAATCGTCATGCACCTGGAGACTGTAGGGCCAGGGCTTTCTGACGCACAGTCCGGGTTCCGACGACATAGATCGACGATTGATGCAATCCTCAAACTCAGAGAGGAATGCGACATCGCCACTGGGAGGGGAGAAATGTTGATAGCGGTATCATTAGATATCAAAAACGCTTTTAACTCTCTCCCCTTTCAGTGCATCGAGGACGCACTCAGTTATCATGAGATACCTAAGTACCTGTGTAGGGTAATCTCGGATTATGTGCGTGATCGAGAGGTGATATATGTCGAAGGTTCTGGTGCTGCTGTGTCCAGGCGAATGGTCCGTGGTGTTCCACAGGGGTCGGTCCTTGGACCGCTCCTGTGGAACCTGGGCTACAATTGTGTCCTTCGTGGATCGCTTCTCCCCCGGACGAGTGTTGTATGCTACGCAGACGACGCACTCGTTACGGCCAGGGGAGACATACAGGTCCACAAAGCGACTGTCGGAGGTGGCTACGGAGCTAACAATTGAGCGCATCAGACGACTCGGACTGCAAGTGGCCGTGGACAAGACGGAGGCTGTCTTGTTCCACGGACCATGGTTTAGGCTGCCAACTGATGCTCACTTGATGGTGGATAATGTGAGAATTAACATCGCGCATTACATTAACTCACATTAAGTATCTGGGTCTATGGATCGATGGTAGGTGGAGTTTCAACTATCATTTCGAACAAATGGCACCCCAAGCTGATAAAAACTGCGACAGCTCTGGGCGGACTCCTGCCAAATCTGGGAGGTCCGAACCAAGTTTGCCGACGCCTCTTCGCAGGGGTCGTGTGAAGTATGGCTCTATATGGGGCGCCGGTGTGGATGGAGTCCCTTAACGCTCACAACAGGAGACTGTTAAGAAGACCACAACGAGTCATAGCCAATAGGGCCATCCGAGCTTACCGGACTGTCTCCGGTAGTGCGGCGTGTGCTCTTGCAGGCATACCTCAATGGGAGCTTGAAGCCAAGCTCCTTACGGAGGTATACAAGGCTAGGAAATCGTCTCTAGCCAGGGGTGACCGCTTGGCACCTGTGGAGATGATTGCTATTCGCAGGCAGTTTGAGGATACTCTAATAGAAGAGTGGTCCAGTACATTAGAGTCCACGGCCGTCGGAGTCCGCACACTTGCCGCCATCCAACCTGTCCTTCGGGACTGGAAGGAAAGGCGGCACGGAGTGCTTACCTTCCGTTTGGTGCAGGTGCTTACGGGGCACGGCTGCTTCGGCAGGTACCTGTACCAAATCGGAAGAGAGGATGAGCCACTAAGCAATCACTGCGGTGCTGGTGAGGACACTGTGCAACACACCCTTGAGGTGTGTAGTGCCTGGTCCTCCCAGCGGTACGCATTGACGCTGGTGGTGGGCCAGGACCTGTCTCTCCCCAACGTGGTTCGGTCCATGTTGGGCAGCCGTAGGTCCTGGGAGGCGGTCTCCTCCTTTTGTGAGACCGTGATGTCGCAGAAGGAGGACGCGGAGAGAGCACGCGAGCTGACAGCCCTCGCTGGCTCTCGCCGCAGTCGCAGAACGGGGGGTAGAAGGCGTCGCTATGCGCGCCCACCCCCGTCTTGAGGTCTGACTCCCTTACCCCGGGTTCTTCGTTCGGTTTGGTCTGCGTACTCCGTCCTGGGCGGGTCCGCGTCCGCATACATGCTTTCGCATGTGTGTGGCCGGGGGCTCATCTGGGTGGGGAGCACAATAAGGTGCACGGACTGGACCGATCTCGTTGCCGTCTGTCTCTCTCTTCTCGCCAGGCAAAGGTGGAGTGCGAGAGGACAGTGAGAGGCGGCTTCAAGGTGAGAGGAATTTTGGAGGTGCCCTACTGAATAGTGGGGAGGGGAGTTCCCTTCGCTCCGCGGCTGCGGCGCTGTCGGGGTCCTGGTTTTCGCCGGGACCTCGGTAGGGCCGTAGCCGCGGCGCGACGAGAGGGGATGCGACCCGTCGTCCGGCTGGACGATCCCTGTCTGCCCTCCGGGGCTGATACGGGGAGTGATGAGGCTGGTCTTTTGTGGCGCATCGACCTACGGGGGAGGGGATCCACGATAAGGGCTATGCCTGTATGGATCCTCTCAACACGATGAGTAGGGGACCGGAGATTGCACAGTCGCGCATCTCTGGTCTCTAGTCAGGGGCAGCTGGCCGGTTCGCGCACTGGTCGGCATTGCACGCTCCTGCCTCGTCGTGGGAGTGCGTCTCGAATGTCTCTGAGGCGTACCCCCAACCCGAGTGGGACCTGCCCTTTTCTGGGCGGGCCGAAATGGGGGCGAACCGCGCGGTGCATGGCCTCCGGGCCGATCCCGCGCATCGCCCACCATGAGAGGGACATCGCTGAGTTTTAGTGGGTAAACTTCTGTTTCTTGTCTAGCCCCTTCAGGGGTGGGGCCGCAGGAGTCCCACATAACCCGTGGAGCCCGCGCAGGGTGAAACGGGTATGCGTAACGCATTTCTCAGCGTCAAAAAAAATAAATAAATAAATAAGGGAATGATTATTATACCCGTGCGCTTTGTTTTCTTTTTATATTCTAGCTGCATTAACGCTAAATCAAACTTGGCTTTTTTTGTTTTAGGGCTTTATTAACCTGAAAATGGCTAAAAAAAAATGAAATTAAATGACGAACAACAAAAATTGAAGATGAACGTAGAGAAAAAATGAAGAGCGATCCTAACAGTTTAGAAAGGCTTCGCGAAAGAGAAAGACTGAAATACATGAAGAAAAAAGAAAAAGGACAGGTTAGACCTACATCTAATATGAATCCAAGAGAAAAATGGCTAAAACGAAAGTCTTGGAAAAAAAATAGCCAAACCTATAGGGATAAACAAGGTGTGCTGCGAAAGAATTTAACCAGATTGTTGGATATAACGCCACCTCCAAGCCCAGGGCCTTCTTTTCAAAATGTTCGTGAAAATAGGGAGGAGCAGCAGAGGGAGGAGCACCGGAGACTGTCGTCAATCGCTCAAAGGAAAAGACAACTAAGACGACGTAGAGCAATACTTTATGCTATAATATCGAAGTTACAAAAATCTGTTGACGACGAAAGAAGGAAGGGTGAGAAGTTTCGCAAGAGATACCAAAGATTAGCTAAAAAGGTGCAGAGTTCTCCTGAAGCTAAAGTTTCAGAGCTACTAGAAAATATACAGGTGCCTGATACCGTGAAGAAAAGACTAATTTTTTCAGAGGTTATTTTTAGACAGCTTACAGACCACTACAAAGATCAAAATAAACATAGTGATAAAAGGATTTTTTTTGAAATAATGAAATCAAGCCTTTTGAAGAATAATAAGTTACTCAGCTTAGCAAGACCTCTTTTCAAACACGAAACATACAAAAGAGCCAGGTGCAGAAAATTAAATACTAAAGCGATGAAAGTCAAACAAGACATTACTGAGTTCTTGGAAAAGGATGAGAATTCAAGGATGTGTCCGGGTAAGAAAGATTTTTTGAGGCACAAAGGACAAGTAAAACAAAAACGGTAATTGTGTGATATAATGAAAAACTTGCACAAAAAGTTTTTGATGACTGTTGTATACAAAGAGAGCTTGGCCACATTTTGTAAGTTCAGACTTTTTGGATAACCTGGGCATTGGTGAAAGATCGTGATATTTGCAAATGTGTAATACATGCAAATGTTCAATTGATGATCCAAAAACTGTACGAGAGTAAAGCTTTGCCTAGCTGCAACCTAACAAGATTTCTTTCAATTATAATGAGCGATGTACATTCAACAAAATGTTTGTTCAGAAAATGTGAGGGTTGTATGAACAAGTCTATGGAGTATTATCTCCCCCAACTCAACAAAATAATAACCTATTATAAACGGATATATGAAACTATTTCATATGAAAAGGATGGAAAGACGAAGACGGTGCGCAAACCCATAAAAAAGGCGATTAATATATCAATAAAAGAATTAGTGAAACAGTTAGAAGAGGCACTACCATTATTCTTTCAGCACGCCGGTACCATAGCTCACCAGTATCAGACCATTTCAGAACTCAAAAAGAATTTAATTGCTAATGAAGTCCTCATACACATAGATTTTAGCGAGAATTATTCTTGTAAATACTACGAAGAAATACAGGCAGTTCATTTTGGTGGTGCTAGGCAACAAATTACACTTCATACAGGTGTACTTTATTTACGTCGCAGTGATGGTGTCAAAGCCCACACTTTTTCCTCTCTATCTGAAAATAACCGACACGATAAGATGGCAGTATGGGCTCATTTAACACCAGTATTTGAATGGCTTAAAGGCCAGGATTTGAATATTCATACGATTCACATGTTGAGTGACAGTCCAGTTAATCAATACAAGAACAAATTTATTTTCCACATTGTGTCTCGATATATAAATGTTTTATTTCCGGGAACAAGATTATTTTCATGGCATTATTCTGAACCAGGGCATGGAAAAGGTGCGCCTGATGGTGTGGGCGGCACTTTAAAAAGAACTGCCGATAAAGCTGTAGCCGAAGGCCTTGATATCGTAAATTTAATGACACTCAAAAATATATTACTGGAAAGGTGTCCTTCAATAATGTTGTTTGAAGTAACCACTGCTGACATCGAAGGGATAAAAAATTTAGTAAAGCAATCTAAATCAATCGCTGCATTCCATGGAACTCAAAAAATTCGCCAATTTGTTTTCGCTTCCGATGTGCTCGAGTTCAGAAGTCTTTCGTGTAACGATTGCACTGGAAAGTGTAGTCATTATCATTTAGGATATTACTTATCTACATCTCATCATTTCAAGAATACGTCGAACAGTAGACAGTTGTCAAAAGTTATCTGTGACACAGAATGTATAATAGTCCCTGATGAGAATACAACAGATAAAGGAACAGATTATAATATAGGGGATCATGTTATCGTTAGATGGGACGATAAGATTTACCCTGGACAGATATCTTCAGTTTCTGAAAAAGGGGCTTTGGTAAAGTGCATGCCAATAGAATGTAAAGCTTAGAAATGGCCCACCATAACAGATGAACAACTGTATCATTGTAATTTTGGAGGTTGAATCTTCTGTAATACATCATTACAGAAGATTCAGCCTCCAAAATTAATAAAAAGGGGATGCTACTTCGTTAGAGAAATGGACAAGGGTGATTAGCTGAGTTAATCAAAGAAATATTCCTGATATTAAGATTTCGTAAGGTACCTGGGTCGAATATGCGCAGTCGGTAAATATGCCCGGTAGGTGTTATTTCAAAAACTAACAACGCGCGAAAGTCGACAACTTCACTCCGTGCACCCACCGATGCATGACCATGGCACGCCAGCCACGCGTCTCGCGCGCCGTTCAGTTGGCTGAAACGTACTGTGCTAGATAGTCGCGTGAATGTTACTAAAAAATTATTTCGATAGTTGCTCAAAATCGTTATAAATAGAACGATTCACTAGTACATCTATATCGTGTTGCAAGATTTGATTAGTATTCTATTGATGGGTAAGTGTAACTTGGAACTATTTGAATATTTTTTTATGTTATTTATAGGTTATGAAAAAATGTGTTGCAGGTAAATATGGCCACATTGTGACCATATTTCCCGTACGTAAATATATGTTTTTTTTTTACTTGTTTTTGTGTTTTCAGGAGATGGGGAGTTACAAATGCCGAGGTATATGAGGCAGATGGACTGAAGACAACATGATAAAGGCGTTAGCGGCGGTAAAACGCGGCGTGATGAAAGTTTATGCTGCCTCAAAACATTTTAATATACCCAGACGTACGCTCAAGAGATATCTCACTGATAATAAGATAAAAAAGGCATCCTTAGGAAGAAAACCATTACTCAGTGAAGAACAAGAAAATGACCTCGAGGCTCGGGTCGTGCGCTTGTCCAATGTTGGGTATCCCATAACTCCATGTGTATTAAGGACTAGTGTTAAGACCTACTGCGAAATGAACAATATACCCCTATCGAGCAACAATGCTATGATTGGCCGTGATTGGCTGAGAGGTTATCTTAAACGTCATAAAGGCGTAAGTCGAAGAAAAGCACAAAACCTTAACCCAGCAAGAGCTCAAAAGCTCAACAAAATAGTTGTGGCTGATTATTTTGAAAAACTCCGTAAAGTCTTAGAAGACAATAATTTACTGAATAGCCCTGAACGAATCTTTAATATTGATGAGAAGGGGTGTCAGTTAAATCTTCATAAATCTCCTCAAGTTTTGGCTCAAAAAGGTACAAAGAGAGTGCATATAGTAGCACATGAACATGCAGAGAATGTAACAGTAGTGTCGTGTGGCAATGCTTTGGGTCAAGCTATACCGCCCATGATCCTATTTAAAGGAAAGCGGCTGAAGCCAGAGTGGAAAGACTCATTACCAAATGGAACAAATGTGCAAATGACTCCTAAAGGAAGCATGAATATTGATACTTTTGTTGAATGGATACACCATCTAGCTAAGTACAAACTTCCTGGGCCATGTCTCGTGGTGTTTGATGGAGCAAAATGTCATTTGGATTACTCCATCGTAGAAGCTGCTGATAAATTTGATATAAAGCTTTTTTGTCTGCCCAGCAACACGACACACGAGCTCCAACCAATGGACAAGTCAGTGTTTCGCTCATTTGAGTATTTCTGGGATGAGGAAGTGTTGAAGTATTGGGCGCATCACGAAGATAGAAGGATCACAAAACAAAGGTTCGGTCCCATATTTTCAAAAGTTTGGGACAAAGCTTTGACTCCCGCTAACATAAAAGCTGGTTTCGAGGCTACTGGAATTTTTCCGTTCGACCCAACAAAGATTCCTGAAGAAGCTTACGCGCCAAGTATTCCTACTCATGTATCGATTCCGGGAGACTCTGTTGATCCAACTACTAATGCTTCCAGCGACAGTGAAGATGATGTACCACTGTCGGCGTTTGTTTCTTCAACAAAAAGAGATTCTACAACGTCTTGCTCATCTGGATCTGAAGACAATACACAAAGCCCTTCATTCCCAATGAGGAAGTGTACGGCTACTAAAAATTTTATCCTAGGTCGATCCGAGATGTCTCGCGAAGATGAGACTGTTCATGATTCCGCAAGATTTCGAGAATCTGATACTTCAAATAAAAATACTACAGATACCAAATTATCTTCTTCTGAGATTGTAACTGTCTTAGACCAACTCTTGTTATCATCTAAGGACAGAAACATTCAGACTGCAAGTCCATCTTTGGTAGATAACGTTTTATTTGAGGCTCCAACTAAGGATTCAAATGTGGCTATTGAGGCATCACCTCCAATGTTTGATAAAGATTTAACCCCAGTCAAGGTTTCTGATATGGCTATAGAAGCTTCGGCTCTATTAGCTGCTACTTCAACCCCAGTTAAGGATATGGCTTTAGAAGACTCAGCTTTGGTAGCTGCTAAATATTCAACTCCGGTTAAGGAGTATATGGAAATTGAGGATTCAGATCCTTTGATTACCAAATCTTCAACGCAAGATTGTAACAACAAGACTGTGGAGTCTCTATTACCAATGCCATCAACTTCATCAGGCGCTAACGTATCATTCAAAATGATGTTCAAAACTCCACAGAAAATTTCAAATCCAATTGTAACTAGAAAAAAAGCTATTAACAGTCTAGCACAAGTATTAACTAAAGATATTTTTGATAAAGTTGCTAAGAAGCAGAAAGTGACAGTTGAAAGCAAAAGCCAAGACAAGAATATGGATAAAGAAGGAAAAGGAAAAGGGAAGGGAAAAGGGAAGGGTAAAGGCTTGAAGGAAAGACCGTCTAATGTGTCCTGGTATTGTTTTGTATGTCAAGAAGATAAAATTGCTGATATGAGACTATGCATAAATTGTGCATCTTACGTCCACGAGGAATGCGTGGGGCTTACTGCTAAAGATAAAGAACAATTCATTTGCATCCGATGCGAAAATTAAAAATAATAAAAGTTCAGTTGATTAGGAAAGTATAGCTGATTGTGATAATGTTGTTCTCTTTTTTATTATTTAAAATTTATTATTTGAAAAATTTATTCTTATTTGAATTAAGAAGATGATTACTTTAGTTAATATTATGTTACAGTTAAAATGGAAGTGCCATTAAGTATTAAGCTTCTTTTAATGCCATTAAGTTTCTTTACGTATTTAATTCCTAGATCTCAGAAGAATAAATCCAAAGTTTTTTGTTTTCTTTTTGTTAAATTATCTTTACCATTTATAATAACTAATACAGTTAATATGCCCATAGTAAGGGCATATTAACCAACATGGTCGGAAATATGGTCAATTCGCCATTTTTTTTAAAAACTTGTTTGGCCGCAATCTCATTCATACCTTGGAGTATTTCTTATAGCCATATGATAAATAGTTAATATACATGACAGAAAATTGATTAAAGCTATTCCTAATCATCAAAACAAAAAAGATGTAGGAAGTTACACCTTAAGGTGACCATATTCGACCCAGGTACCTTATTTTATTATTCTCTCATGCTGTCTCACATATTGTTGAAACGGATATAGTTTATAAGGTTTTCATTGGCGAGTTGCCTTTTTTATTCAGTATTAACAAATGATACTTTTTTGATCTCTTTATTAGTTTGTAAGCAACATTAATCCCTAGTGCAATTAGCAATACTTGAAACGCTGTGATTTCCAAAGGAAAGTTTGTCCATAATTTTACGTACAAAAATTGATATTAATAGTTGTATAAGGAGAAATACTAAGTAAATGTTACTTTATCTTTGTTATTTAAAGTATAATACAAGATTTCTAATGTCATTAAACATGTCTTTTATTGTTGAATTGGCGTCAATATGGTAACACTCATTCTCTCACCTGATGCATCATTCCCTCACTCTATAATTTTTTACTACCCTCTTCAATCTATAAAAAAACTCATGTATTTTAGAGACCACTATATCGTTGACAATTAGTAACACGAGTACTATAAAATTCATAGCAAAGAATAATTAAATATAAAAAAAAATAAGAAATTTTTAAAACTCAAATTTCTGAATTTTGCTGGAATTACCCAATTATAGTAGGATGAACCAGCATGTGGGGGATTTTTAATTCTACAATGCTTCCCATCAATGGCTCCTACACAATTAGGAAATTGCCATTTATTAAAAAAATTATCAGCAACTTTATTTAATATCTCTACAGTTGGTACTGGCAGGTGTACCTGAACAAGATTTGACCAAATTGCAGTGCAAGTTGTATATACTATTTCTCTTACAGTAGTTTTTCCAACTCGAAAGGAAAAACGCTAGACTTCTAAAAGATATCGCCGTTGATAAAAATCCGTAAATATAATAAAAATCAATTAAATTAATAATTTATATTTTTTCACTTTCTATGTGGAAGAAACGATGGAAAAATTTAAAGGATCAATACCGTAAAGAACTCAAAAAACTACCTGCACCCAGATCAGGAGACCCAGGCGATAACGTTCAGTCTACTTGGCAGTTTTTCTCTCAGATGAATTTTTTGCGATTTGAAATTCTACGTAATAGTTCAGACACAAATTTAAGAATAAACAACGATGGCGATCAATCATCAAGTACAATGTCGTTACCATTGTTTTCACCACATACAGAAATAAATTCACAGGAGTCTGTAATTACGGAAACAGATGTTCGTTCACCTACAGAAGATGATGATGTAACTATTGAGACTCCTACAAATTCACAATTGCTAATGAATGCTTCCACGTCTAGTTCTAGGCCCCGAAAACGAAAGACGGCAAACGATATTAGAACAGAAATGTTAGAATTGGAAAAAAAACGTTTATTGTTATTAGAGAAAGACAACAGAATTCTAACGCAACACAGTCAAGTGAAAATAAATCACAAGACTATTACTACTTGATGAGTTTACTACCACAAATGAAATCATTTCCTCCATTACAAAGGTATCACGTAAGGAATAGAATCAACCACATTATGATGGAAGAAATTCAAAAGTCTATGTATGGGGATTCATATACTGGTACCAGCTGGTCCCATGGATATGCAACACGGACACCTGAATAGTGGATTAACCTTGATTGATTATATATTGATTGATTGATTATATTTGAAGTAATAAAAGCGAATTATATATATATATATATAAAGTTTACTTTTATTTACCGATTTACCTTAGCGTTAAAAACAGTTTTTCTTCAGGCGTAATTATACGATTTCCAAATAACAGACTCAAGATTGCTTCTTATTTTCTCTAAATTCTTGTATAATTGTAAAATTTTGTTGGATGACACCTTAGCTCGTAATAAAGTGCCACATCAACTGATGTCTGAAAAGAAACACAAAGAATATCAACCTCAAATACTTGAAAAGAGGCGTAATATTGGTACATCGTCATCACTTTCAAATGTACCTAAAAAATATACTAGTTCAGCTAACCAACAGCGTTGTACTTCAGCCCCACCTACAACCACAGTACAGTATTTTCTACCCAGTAACTCATCTTTTAATCCATTGAATGATGGGTCCTGTTCTGATGATGGTGATTTTTCAAGGGCTGACAGTGACGTCACATACTGCCTGCCCCTCAGATGCTAACGAATCAAGTAGTTCCAACTTAGATCTTAGAGAGCAACCGTCTACTTCAACTGGTATATTTTACGGCGAAATAAATGAAGGAAGAAAGCGTAAAACTAAGTCTGATCCAAACCAATGGAAGAAAAATAAAAACAAAAAAACTACGCATGTCAGGTAAAGAATAATTAGGATTTACAAACCCGAAAAACAGGAAGTTAAAACAAGACAAAATGAAAGCTGCTAGACGATTAGGAGAAAGATGTAATTCGGAGTTTTGTAAAAAGAGTAAGGTACGAAACTGCGACAAAATAAGCGATGAAACACGATTGCCGATATATAGGAGTTTTTCGCAAAATATGGGCAAATTATGTTGGGACCAGCGGAAGGTTTTCATTTGCGGACTTGTTAATCGTAAGTTTCACGCAAAACTAGTAATGAAGCATCTCGGCGTGAAGGTACCTTAGAATATAATTTGCCAACCACCAATGGCAAACAATTACAGGTGTGTTGAACAACATTTTTGAACACTTTGTGCCTTGGGTCGTACACAGTTCAATCATGGGTTTAAAAGAGCGCATTGTAGAGTAATTCCTAGCCAAGAAGTTCAAAATATGACAAGAATCCAAACGCCACGAACAGGAACTCAGCAAAAAGTTTCGTTCGCGTGCAAATTCTTAGATGACATTCCCAAGTTACCGTCGCACTACGCAAGGAAAGAATCAGCAAAACTTTATTTAGAACCTGTTTACCGTTCTCTCAGTGACTTATACAGTCGCCACAAGGAATACTGTGCTGAAAATGATGAGCCAATCTTATGTCGATACACGTTCGAAAAATTATTCAAAGATAAAAATCTATCAATTTACACGCTGAAAAAGATATGTGCTACTTTTGTGGTGGACATGCTGTAGGAAATATTGTTAGAAGTAACTATGAGCAACATATTCAACGCAAAAATAGAACGAGACAGGAAAAAGAAGATGACAAAAAGAAGGCTTGAAGAGAAAGAAAGTTTTTCTTATTTTCCATGGATTTGGAAGCGGTAAAAGTGTGCCCTTATTTAACAGCAAGTGCCTTATATTTTAAAACAAAACTCACTTGTCACAACTTCACTATGTACGACCTCATTAGCCATCAATCCTCCTGTTATTGGTTCGATGAAACGTGCGCTGATCTAACAGCCAGTACTTTTGCATCCTTCGTGATAGACTATCTCGAAAGATATTGCTTTTTTAAAGGTATGCCCATAATCATTTACTCAGATGGGTGTACGTATCAAAACAGGAACAACATCATGGTAAATGCATTGTTACGCCGGCTCCACACGTTGGCCCCAATATTAGCCCCAACGCTACTCGTCCAACGTGTGGATCTAGAAAATGGCATTGGTTCCAACGTTTGGGCGAGCGTTGGTAGTTGGCCGGCTCGTGTCGGTTTCATTAAAGGAATCTGCGCCAACGCTCGCGATCTGTCCACACATTGGCGTCTTGCTCAGTTCTGTTGCAACACGCAGCGAGTGCGTAAGTCGCACGAGAATAGCTTACTCATCCACAAAATCGCCACCGGCATGGACAAATGAAAAAGTAATAGCATTTATGGAACTTTACCAAGCACATCCTATAATATGGGATGCAACTTTATTTGCTGATGCATGGCGCACCATTCAACTGAATATGGAAATAATTTACTCAATTGAAGATTTAAAAAAAAAGCGAGTATCATTAATGAGCCCATATCGCCTTTACAGAAAAAAAATAGGGACTACTCAATCTTGATCATCGACAGACGATATTTTTAAAACAAATTTGTTCGCTTATGAGCTTATCTTCACATTGGCTCTGACGGGACAGAACAAGTTTATAAACCAACGTGTGTACGTCTCACTAAATTTGCAGTCCAACGTTCGTACGAGCTCTGGGACCAACATGTGGAGCCGGCCTTAAACGCAAGTATTGAACACAATGTAACTATAACTCAGAAATATTTAAAGCCAGGTCACACACAAATGGAATGCGACTCTGTGCACGCTGCGATCGAAAGGAAGTTAAAGAATAGGGAAATCCATCTCCCCAGTGACTTCTTAACCGTTAACAAAGAAGCACGTAAGAAACCTACCCCTTATGAAGCCATTCGCGTAGATCACAATCTTGAGAAGGATTACAGTGACAAATCGACGTGGAGATACGACAGCATCCGACCAGACCGGGAAGCTGGTGATCCAGTTGTAGTTCCAACAGCTCAAAGACGTATTACCAAGAGACTGCCATTTTTTCTATGACAGCCTGCTTTACGTTTGATCTTTTTATGAATTCAATTACCTACTTCGTTTTTTTTCATATACCGTCGAAACCCGTAATTTCGCCTGTTCAACCTATCTTCGCCTAATTTTAATTAAGTTGGCTTTACCAACATATTTTTGGTATAGGGTATGCACAAAACAACTAAATAGAAAGAGTTTTTTTAAGTATGGTAAAATTTTCCAAATTAATTGTAACTAACTTCACACTGATGGTCACCAGTGCATTTTTACCGTGAAATGGAGGACATGTTTTTTTTTATGGTGTTTTTACTTTAATTGTAAGAAGTGTTACAGTGAAGTTAATGTTAATGTTTTTATTTTATTATGAACTACAAGTATTTCTCTTTCATTTGACGCTCTGAATAATCATCTAATTCACTTTTAGAAGTTTCAATTGAATAAATGCTATTGTGGGGGTACAGGTGATTATTTTGTTGCTGAACTTCGCCAACCATTAGGGTGTCAAATCCATAATAAAAGGGTTTTAGTACGAGTATATAAGTAAGTAGCTAAAAACGTATCTCAAAAGCTGTTGCAACAGAATAATATTAATATTCATACAAACTAACATTTTTTTTAAATACACTAAACATTTTTTCCATTATACCTACTTGAAACAAAGCACAAGTTACTTAGACACATTTGATATCGAACTGATTGTTGTAGAATTACCGACAATGCAAGCGAAGCAACGTAATAAGCGGCCATACACGGCAAAATATTCACAAGAAATGATCAATGAAAGAAGCGTTATAGAATAAGACAATGTCTTCGTACGAGGCAGAGAATATTTGTAATACCTCGTCGGACTTTACTGGATAAACTGCATAATAAACATCTTAAGAGTCCGGGATGTCCGACGAGACTCACCGACCAAGAGGAAGATAATATAATCAAAGTCCTATTAGCAGCTGTGGAATACGGCAGCCCTTTGACTCTTCTGAATTTGCGAATTGTTGGACATAGATAATAATTACATATATTTTATTAACTATTCTATTCTATATGCCCCTACCGTTAAAAATATCATATTAATAATGAATACACAAGATCAAAGTGGCATTCATTTTTCAGATATTTAGAGAACGGCTCAATGAAAAAACTAATAACATAAGTAGTGCTTTTAAAAGTACTGGTATTGTTTACCATTCAACCCTGATAAAGTAATTATGAAATTACCGGATTCAAAGAAATTTAGAATGACGTATACTGTCGATGATGCACTATTAGATTGGCTGAAAGAGACACGTAAAGCAGATCCTAATAAAAAAGTAAGAAAAAAAAAACTAAATATCCCACCTGGTAAATCTATATGTACAAGCGACTTTAATATCCTTCCTAAAACAGTAAGAATAAATAACAGAAAGATAGACAAAAATTCCAACACTATACCACTTAATGCTGACTTAATTCTACAGCCATCTTTGATGCTTTTAAGTGCCGATAGTCTCAAAACTTTGTGTCTCCGGATCGTTAACAATAACTTGGGTGAACCCGAACCATACTCTGGTGAAAAAACTGCGCAAGTATCAGATGTTCATAATTTGTGTGATATTTCAAAAAATAATGAAATACCAAAATGTCTACAAACCGTCAAGCCTACAATTATAATTACCTCTTATGTCACAATAAAATCACAACAGTTAAAAAAATATCAACAGAGCAAGCAAAGAAACGCTAATATCCAACAGAATAATTATAAAATTACGGGGTCTGCCTTACATATGAAACTGATTCCGGCACGAAAAGAAACTCTATCCAAAAGCAGAAGAAATAAACAAATCAGAAGTAATTGGTAATAACATTAGCATAAAATCTAAAACAGAAAATGGGAAAAGAAGATTGATAAAAAAACAAACCAATAAAACAAAAAAGAAGACACAATAATGCAAATCTGAGAAACAAAAAAAGAAGAAATTTAGTAGTAATGAATCTAGTTTTATTTCTGACAGTGAAATATCTCTTGCTGATACGGAAAACTCAGAATATGAAACAATGAACGATTTAATTACAAGCCAGCAAGATGAACAAGAAAACACAGAGCCATCTATTCCTTATGGTATTTCCAACATCAAATATCTCTCAGAGAATGATAAAAAGTTAAATACAAACTCCTAGATTTTGGCTAAATGTACAACAAAGAAAAGCGTTAAGCATTTTGTTGGGAAAATAATAACAATCAAAGACAACACTCCCGAAGTCAATAATATCAATTAAAGACAAAAGGAGAAATCATATTTAATATTGATTTGAGTAATAATAATGTACAATAAGTCCTACCAAAATATTTTCATATGACTGACTGATTGAGACTGATTCAAGTATTCAGAGTAACTGAAACTAAATAATCTTACCTTTTTTAATTTAAAAAAGAAAGGATGTGTAAAAAAATGAGTCAAAACTCAGGCGAAGTTAGGGGTTTCGACGGTACCAAAATTTTTTTGTAATTGTTATAATTAAAAGCAAAAAAAGCAATTTTCCAAAGTAATTATTATTTTAACACTAGAAGGGCCATGGCCGTCAATTTGACGGCAAAATAATTTTGATGGCTAATAACTTTTTGTCTGTATTTCAGTTTGTATTCATATTTAATGACTTTTCATAACTTATGATTGTATAAGTTTTAACTTAATAAAAATAAATAAATAATGATTGATATGCGGGGTATGCTTACTCATACCTAATAAGACCGGACGCCGTCAATTTGACGGCACTTGAATACTTTGAAGTGTTATAAACAAAAGTTTTGTTTCTACCTTCTTATCTTACCTATATATTTATATGTTGTGTTTATTGACATGACTTACAGTTTCAACTGATTATTTGAAGAGAATTGTCGTGTGTTTATTTTATAATGAGTTCCAATCGGCGTTCCAAACAGCTCTCGAGTTTAGAAATAGAACGAGAGTTATCGCAACTTTGTAATATTGTAGAAGATGACTCAGGTGATGAAAGTGGCAATGAATTATCAGTAACGCATTGTGATAACGAAGATGAAGACTTTCAGCTAGACCAAGAAAGTTCTACATCTGAGGATTCAGAAGCCGACATTCCAACTGAAAGTCATTTCGACAGTGAAACGCAGGACAGTAATTTACACAGCGAACGTGGTATACGTAGAAGTCGTGGCAGAAGACCTGGATCCAGCGGAAGAGCAGTGCATTCGGGAAGTATAACACGTGGTGGGAGGCAAGTCAGAACGTCATCATTACCCGAAATAGGTATGAGACAAGTGGCTAGTGATGGCACTGAATGGACGTGTATTCCTAGTTTTAGTGGTGGAACGACGGGCCGTCGAAGTCGGCAAAATGTACTGAGAGAAAACCCAGGTCCCACTCCATATGCAAAGCGGTATGTAGAATCCAAAAAAGTTATTACTTCTTGGCGTCTTTTTATTCAAGAATTTATATTACGACGCATAAAGTTGTGCACTGAAACTGAAGCACGTATCAAATGTCAAGATGAATCGTGGGAAATTTCTTTAGATGAATTAGATGCTTTCATTGGACTGATTTATGCACGTGGAGCTTACAACATGAGCCATTTAGACCTAGACATTTTATGGTCCTTAGAATGGGGTCCGCCAGTTTTCAAAAATACTATGAGTAAAAATAGATTCAAAGAAATAATAAAATATTTACGATTTGATTTGAGAAGCACGCGTAATACACGTTTATCTACTGACAAATTTGCAATGATTTCTGATATATGGAATAATTTTATAGAAAATTGCCAAATGTGTTATATTCCTGGTGAAAATATGACTGTTGATGAGCAGTTATTTCCATCGAAAACACGTTGCCCTTTTTTGCAATATATTGCGAACAAGCCTGATAAATTTGGAATAAAGTTTTGGTTATTAGTGGATGTTGAGAGCAAATATCTGTGTGGGGGTTTTCCTTATTTAGGAAAAGATAGTGAGCGCCTAAGTAATATGTCGTTACCAGAACATGTTGTTATGAAATTGTTACAACCTTACCTCAAAAAAGGTCGGAACGTTACAACGGATAATTTTTTCACATCTCTAAAATTGGCAGAAAAGCTTAGATCTGAAAGTACAAGTATTGTTGGAACAATGAGACGGGCAAGACGAGAAGTACCAGCGAATTGTAGAAACATTCGTACAAAGAGATATGAAACCTTTATACTGAAATCGGCAACAAACACAACCCTAACAATTTATCAAGGTAAACCTGGGAAAAATGTCATTGTATTGAGTACATTACACGAAAATATTCATATTGATGCTGAGTCAAAAAAAAAACTACCGGAGACTATACAATTTTATAACGAAACTAAGGTAGGCGTGGATATAATTGACCAAATGGCACGAAAATACACTGTAAGAGCTGGAACACGAAGATGGCCAGTCCACGTCTTCTATAATATTCTAGATTTGGCCGCCATAAATTCATGGATTATTTATCGCCAAGTTACAGGTGAAAACATTTCTCGTCATAATTATATTCTACAACTTGTAAGTGAACTTCGCGCAGAGTACGTGAATAAAAAACAAAGTGCATCAGCTTTTCAACGTTTGGATAACATAACTATTGAAGAAGAACAGCCTTCTACATCACAAAAAAGACGACAATGTCAAATTAATTCAAAATGTAAAAAGAACCGCACTTGTGACTTATGTACTATTTGCCAGAAAGCTGTTTGTGGTCAATGTGTAAAAAAAGTATTTAAAAAAATTATTTGTAATAAATGTTTTATGTAACTAATCAAAGTATTTAATTAAAAGCATTAATTAAAATTCGTAATTTTGTTTTTATGACACACATAGGTACATATTTCAATCATATTTTCTCCGTAATTATCATATACCGTCAATTTGACGGTCGCGGTCTTTGAAGGTATGCAATTTCCCCGACCCTTCTAGTGTTAATTAAAATCAAAACCTTCTATCATACAATTTATTTAATGAAATCACTGAGGATGTTAAACCAATATCTTCTATCTAACCAAATACCTACTAAACGATTATTAATCAAATTAATATTTTATTGAAACCTAAGCCTGTCATATTGGTATGTGCTCCATATAAATTGATTTCTTGATTTTAATGTTTTCAAGAAAGTAAACATTTTTTTCACTTTGTGTAAAATTTTGTCTGTGTTAGTTAGAAGGTATCAGCATGTCACTATTGATATGCATGTGTGAAGCTGCAGGAAAACAGCTTGTTCATACATAAAAAGAAATATAAAATTTTCATCACCTATCAAAGCTAAACTAAGCATAATGATACACTTGTTATGTGTACTATACACATTAATTATTATTGGTTTTAAAAATTATGATGATAATACAAAATCTTACTCTGCACAAGAACTGCATTTCAAAATAAATCATCATCCTTCCCAATTATCAGACTTTTCCCAAACTGCTTACCATATTATTAACTTAACAATCACAATTTTGACATTTATTTGCAACAAAAAAACCATCTAGGTAAGCATATAAAATGCATAACAGTTAATGGAGTTCCATAAAAAAAATTAGAGATAGTTAAATCACTTTCTTACAAAGTATGAAGCTGTTGATATTGTAAAATCTTTGAAGGATAAATATCAACAGTCATAGTTTTTCTTCTTTATGATCCATATGACTTTTGCCAAGAATACTCTAGTCGTATCAACCAAGCCGTTGAATAAAGTTAATGAAATAGTGAAATCAGTTTCGTACTATTGAAAAGTAAAAATTACACACATTTAACATTACATTTCAAATAACAGCAACCATTTAAATCCAGTGTGAAAATGAAATGATTGAAAACAATCAGAAGACTTCTTTTATCACACATGTATGAATAGTTGCAATACATAAACCACTTTTTAACTGCTGAACACTTATGAATTATTATTATTTTAGTTATGGCCTTGTTCCATTATACATGGAAATTCTACCAACATCCCTTAGTGAGAGACACGAGACTCAAGAGACTGAATGGTAGTTAGAATTAACCAGTTCTTCCTTAAGATTGTTCTTTCTCTACGAAAAAAAAGGACAACACAAAAGCAAACATCACTATAACTACGATAGTTTTATAATTACCTAAAAGAGGATTTTGCAACACTTATTGTTATAATTCGATATTTTTTTTTTTATATAAATTTGCAAAGAAATATTCGAATCTTTGAAAGAAAAACAGGTGTAGTTACATGTCCAAATCGAAGACGGCATATGGTTGTGACGGTACGTCTGGGGATATCATGAAATTTATAAAACCAAGGCTTACTCGGCACAGTTTTGTAGGCTACCATAATGTAGTCCTATAGTTTTAGAAGTACGAATAGAAGATTCTAAGAATAGAAGGTTGTAAGATATCCATGAGTAATTCCGTAGACGAGAGGGATCACCTGTCATAATAGACTCCTTGGCCCTGGCATCCACATAATTTCGTTATTCCGTATGCCGCTGTGTCCAGGAATCCAAGCTACAACGATTTCAATGTTCTGGGAATGGCATTCATAAAGCAGATTTTTTATTGTCAGAATTATTGGAGACGGTGTTTTGTTTTTCAATAAATTACTTAAAACAACATTTGAGTCCGTAAAGTTTGAACTATTTGGTAAGTCTCTAAACTCCAAAAAGAATAAAAATCCGATAACACATAATCACATAATACGGGCAGAATAAAAGAATCAGAAAGAAAAATAATAGAATAAACATAGTAGTGATGAGACTAGCGATAGGCGGTGAATCAACGGACCGGTTATTAACTAACGAAAAATCAATTTTTCGTTAGTTAATTATCGATTTATTATATTCATCGTTTCTGTCCTTTTAGTCGTAGACATTTTGAAAAATTAGACTTGATAAAGTTTAGTCCTCGTTATGCCACGCGCTGTTTGCGATCAGGTGACAATTAGTATAAATTATTTATTTTTCATAAGTAACTTAAGGAATATATTAAATATAAAAGTGTGATTATCGGTCATAGTATATTAAACACTGTCAGAAAAAAATATGTATTTATTTTCTTTTACTATCTATGGAGCAACGAATTAAACTGTTTTACCGATATTTTGTGGATTTTTATGGTATTATTTATTCGTTGGTGAAACTTCATTTATCAAACAACAATACGGACACCCGTAACAGTTAAAATAGTTTAATTCGTCGCTCTATCTAGTGAAGGAATAATTGTTTGATTAAATTAATCAACCAAACTGTTTCAAAAACACAGAAGGAATGCCATCATTACGGCGTTAATATAATATTATGCAGATAGTATTCTTTGACCGGACCAAAAGACCGAACTTGATGTCGGAGGGGTACAGATGAAAAATCGGGAATAATTGATTAAATGATTATCAAAAGAAACGATTGTTAATCGATATATATGAAAATAAAATAAGGTATTAAACTCAATTCCAACTTTTATAAAATCAACTATTTCTATATACGATATTTTTCACATCCCTAATCCTAACCATATTTCTGCAAATAATCCCAAGATTTGGCTGTATGGCTTAGTTCCTTCGCCTGTCCCATGGACGAATTATAATACTACTACTTTCTGCAAATAAAGATTTTATTATTATTATTATTAACCTAGACCATCCTTGAATTGTTTTTGTAGGTTTATTAAGTAAATTAAATTTAATTGGCGTCACTTTTAATGCCGAACCCAATGATATATTAAACATAATATCATTGGCCGAATCTAAACCCGTCTAAACCCGACTAAACAATACTAATAAAATAATATTTTTAAATATGGGCTTTCTTGACTAATCTAGTAATCTATCAATTATTGAAACATACATAAAATAATTTAAATGTAAGTTCCAATATTTCACTTGTTTTTCTATTAGTTATTTTTCAGGCAGGGGGGTATTTTGTATGTTTA